TTTGGAACGGGGCTTCCCACAAGCTCCGTCACTACCTGCTGAAGGAGTGAACAGCGGGTGGGGGGCAGCCTGCGGAGGTGGGGCCAGGGTTCCAGGGGTCACACTCCCTACGTGGCAGCCGAGTCCCGGCCTTGACTGGGCTCTCCCAGGCCAGCTCAGACGCTGAGGGTAGCCCCAGGCCCCCCAGGGAGTGGGTCAAGGCTGGCACAGGACGGGGACCGACCCATGCTGGGCAGAGGTGGGACGAGAGGTGGTCGCGCTGCCCTCGGCCGCTCACGCTCACCCTCGTGTTCTGTCCCCAGGGCTTCGCCTGCAAGAGCCGCGCCAACCGTGAGTACATCCCGCCTCTGGGTGGGGGCTGGCTCCCTGCCTGGTCACGCACGTGCTGCCCTCCCAGTCCTGGGCCCACGCGGCTCCGAGGTCCCCTGGGGAGGCAGCGGGGTCCCCTCCTGAGCAGGGTGAGCCGCCATCCCACGGCGGTCCCCAGGCCTCCTCACGAGCCAGGACAGCCCTGCCAGGCCTGGCGCACGGGCGGGGCCAGACGTGGGCTTCCTGGAGGCGGAGGTGCCCTTTGCCGCCGCGGCCACGTCACACCCCCAGCCCTGCGAGGAAATCCACTTCCTCTTGTCAAACTTTGTTCCCCGAGGTGAGACGACACCCACTGCAGTCTCGAACCCCCGTCATGGTCTTTGCGAGCACTGCGTGCTTGCGCGGGACTACCCGCGACGCGGAACGTAGGAGCAGGGAGCTGAAGCTCAGTCCGCAGCCCCCGTAGCAATAAACACAGCAGGAAAACGGTTCTGAGTATGTTTGTGGGCAAGTGCGCAGTGAGTAGGATAAACAGATAAAGATTATTTTATAGAAATGAAACTACCTGTCATTTAAAATATTTTATTTACTTTTACTCGAATTTAAAGGAAAAATAAACTAAAGAGATGACTACACTTTAATTAAATGTTTCTTCACCTCAAGAGACAGTAATTCCTCAGGGACGACGGCTCAGCTTAAGCAAGGAGACGGTGGCCACGCGGGGCAGGCGCAGCGCGGCGTTTCGGACCTTCCCGCGTCCCTTTGGGGCAGCAGGTGCCGCCGCGCTGAGCCCTGAGCCGGGGCCGTGCTCGGGAGGGCAGCTCCGTTCCGTGTGGGCCGTGGAGCCGGGTGGCCCTGCTGCCCTGGGGTCCTCCCGTGGGGCCCAGGGTGTCTGCGGTGGCTTTGCGCCTGCGCCACGTCCTGTCTGCGTGCCCCGGCTCACACGGACTCACTCTGTGCCTTAGACGCTCGTGGACATTGCTCCGCCGTCTGCCGCGGTGGCCGCTGGGGAAAGTCTGATACAGCCTGGCCCCTCTGCCTGGACACCTGGAGACCACCCTTGGCGTCCCCGAGACGCCCTTGCCTGTCCAGGCCACGCCGCGGGGACGCCTGTCGTGTGTTGCTTTTCCTGAATCTCTGTGAGCTTTTCCAGTCCACGGATTTCGTTCTTCCGCCGTTTCAGGGAAACTTTCAAGTGACGCTCTGGACACCGCCGTGTGTCGCCGCAGCAGGGACTCCAGAGGGCTGTGTGCGGCCACCTTGGTCTGTCGCTGCCTGATAGCTTCTCTCGGGCTCCACGTCTCTGTCTTTGTCGACGGCGTTCGCTGTGAGGGCCTCAGCCACCCACGCCAGCAGTGGGGTTCTCCCCGTGTCCGCGGCCCGCATTCTTGACGTCCTGGTAGCTCTGCGAGGGGCTGCCGGGTCCCCGGGCCAGCACCTCCCCTCTGACAGCCCTGCCGTGGGTCATCCGTGTCCCATTCCTCCTTACGAAGACGGCTCGTTGCTGGATGCGCCTGAGGCGTGTCTCGGTTATGCCGCGGGTTGCGCTTGCTGCTTTGTCTTTGAATTCTGTTCCTGTCCGTCTCCAACCTCCCTTCCTCCCTTCCATTCTTACTTGAACTGTTCCTGCGCCGCGTTTGCGACGCCTCCTCCAGTAGCCCTTCCAGGGCTACTGGGAGTAACCCTGGGTTACTCTGGCTCCCTTTGCACCCTCTTTGGACCCAAAGCCCCGCATTTCCCCCAGGAGCTGCGGTGTGAGGGGCTGGGCGTTCCGGGGTCAGCTTGGCCTGGCAGCCCCGGCGCGGCTGGCGAGGGGAGAAATGGTGCTTTCTGGGGGGCCCAGTCCACACCCACGGTGGCAGGAGGCCCTCGGGCCCATCCCCAGTGTGGCAGGAGCCCGGGGCATCCGCGGGGCCGTCTCTCCTTCCCGCCACACCCCGTGAGAGCAGCGAGGAGACGAGGAAGTCGGGCTCCTCCGCGTGGAAGGAAGGAGGGGCAGAGCCACACAGAAAGCACTAAGGACCCCGTGCTCTGAGCTGGGCCACGCGTGTTTTACGTACACAGATTCCAGCTCTGTCCACAGAACCCCCGAGAGCCGGTGACCGACTCACAGCCACCAGCCCAGGCTGCGGCGTGGAAATTCCGTTTCCGCTGAAAGAAACTGGGCAGAGAATGACCGATGCCCAGTCCGGGGCAGAAAGGACACAGGAGAAGTCCTGTCACTCCGGAGCGCCAGGAAGGCACCCAGGACCGCGGGGGACGCAGAGCTCGGGCCGTCAGCCGCTCCGTCTGGGCCGAGAGGAGAAGGATGGCGATGAATCGTGACCTGTGAGTTCGTAGCGATATTGTCTGGGAAAAGAGAAAAGGAAGCGTTCGTCTTCTGTGGGTGGCGGGGACGACGCGCCACGTCGAGTCTGGGCAACAAAAGGACGGAGTCCAGCCTCCGTCCCCCTTCCTCTCGCGTGACGAACCCCTGGATGAGAAGACTCCTCACAAATCATCCCAGCTAGGAAGCAGCAAAAAGGGGCAGAATCAGCCAAAACCGGTTCCGCGAGCCCCAGCGAGCTGGGCCACGGTGACGGCTGCCAGCCAGCGACAGGGACGGACGTGCCTCCCGCCGGGGTCCTGCTGCCCGTTCGCCAGAGCAGGGCGAGGTCGGGGGGAGGTTGGTGCCGAAACGCACCACCGGGGGCGCCGCAGCGTCCGAGAGAACAGCGGGAGGGAAGGAGGAGGAGGACTCGTGGACCCAACGTCAGCCTTTAAACACGACCCAGACTTGGCTGTGGTGTCTGGACAGGCACGTTTGGGTGAAAAAACACAGAGTAACGCAGAGAAATAATTACCGTGGAAGTCAGGACAGCGGCCCCTCCGCAGCGGGGTCAGGAACCGCGTCCGAGCGTGGACAGGCCGGGTGGGGGTCGGGGTTTGCTTCCTCTCAGTTCGCTAGACTTTCTGTGTGTGACCTTCGGTGCCTATGTTCCCTGTTTGCAATAAAAGGGTTTTAAAGGGGCTTTTCATTTTATACTTTCACTCTTCAGTGTGAAGTTTTGATTGTCAAGTTTCCTGAAAATTCCAGCAGGCATTTTGATGGGGATTATATTGACTGTATTGACCGATTTGGGCGGAAATGAGATCGTGTCAGAGCTGGGTCTTCCAGCCTTGCCGTTTATTCCGGTTTTCCTCAGAGCACTTACTTTTGCTCTTCAGAGGGTGAAGGACACTGGGGTGATTTCCCTACTTTATTACATTTTCTGGTTTTGCTGGCGTCAAGCAGCACCATCTTGGGATATCGTTCTCGTATCCACGACATTTGCCAAAATCTCATTATTGCTACTAGATTTCCTGTCGAGTCTCTTACGTTTTGTGTGTGGACAATCACATATTCTGCACATGATGACGGTTCACAACCCTGCGCGTGGGGCCAGCCGTGGGGGCCTTGGGGCGTTGGCTCTGTCCCCAGGAAAATGCTGAGCGAGGGACCTCGTCTTAGTCCTGGTGTTCATGGCAACGATTCCAGGCTTTATCATCAAGTGTCAAATGTATTGGATGTTTGAAGTAGATGTCCCCAGTGAGACAAAGGGCTGCCTTTCACTTCCTGGTTTGCTAAGCGTTCGTAAAGAGGTGTCGAATTTTATGGAAAATTTCTGTTACAGGCGGGCGTGGTGGTGCACATCTGTAGTCCCAGCTACTCGGGAGGCCGAGGCGGGAGGATCACTTGAGTCCAGGAGTTGGAGGCTGCAGCGAGCTATGATCACACCACTGCACTCCAGCCTGGGCAACAGAACGAGACCCTGTCTCAAAAAAAAAAAATCCTGTTACAAGGCGGTTTGGGTTTGTTTCTAGCAGTTCTGTTTGTTCTTTTCAAATGTGCTTGGTCCGTCTTCATAGTTTTTCCCACTCTGCGTGTTTCCAAGCTTGTGTTTTTCGCTCGGTTGGTCTGTCGTCCATGCCTGACTCTTCTGCTACAGGCGGACTCTGTGGCCTGTCTTTTCTGTGGGTTCCCACTCTCGGGGCTTTGTTTCCTGGGGTGCCTGCTCGATGCTCTTGAGAAACACCTGGGCCTGGGACACAGGGTCTTCTCCTGACGCTGGACTCACGCTTGTTTCTGGGCCGGACCCAGCCGCGGTGCGCGACCACCAGAAACAGGCCAGATCACACGCACAGACCGAGGTTTCCTGGATCTTCACGGTGGTGCAGACCTGGCCTGCGAATCGGTTTTCAGACCCACCAGGGTCATGGGCTCCTGGGGAGGCTTTTCTGCCCACCCTGCCCTGCCCGGAGCAGTCCTCCCACGCGCCGGGGGTCTGGGGAGACCGTAGGTCTGGACCCAGGGTGAGGCCCAGCTTAACACAGGGAAATTCTCCCTGCGTGACGCCGGGGCCTCTGGGACTCCACTGGTCTGTGCCCCCCACCAAGCCCTCAGCTCCCACTGGCTGGGACCCTGTCCCGAGCCCCTGCAGAAGTGGCCTCCTGCACTTGCTTTCCTCTGCCTCCCTGTCCGTTGTCTGTTTGGAGACAGAGTCTCGGTCTGTCACCCCGGGTACAGTGCCGTGGCGTCAGCCTAGCTCACAGCAACCTCAAACTCCTGGGCGCAAACAATCTTCCTGCCTCAGCCTCTCAAGCAGCTGGGACTACAGGTGAGCACCACCACACCCGGCTAATTTTTTTTTAGTAGAGACGGGGTCTTGCTCTTGCTCAGGCTGGTCTCGAACTCCTGAGCTCAAGCAGTCCTCCCACCCCAGCCTCCCAGAGCTAAGATCGCAGGCATGAGCCACTGCGTGGCCTCCCTGTTTTTGGCCTCATGTTCTTTCCTTAGCTCTCACAAGTTTTTAAGAAGGTTTTTTTACATACATATGTTTTTTCTCCAGCATAATCAGTTGTTTTCAGCAATAGAGTTGGTCCAAATAGCCTGGTCTAGCTCAGTGCAGGAAATGTAGCTCCCAGCTTACTTTTGTTTTTTTTTTTTTTTTGAGACAGAGTCTCAGTCTTTTGCCCGGGGTAGAGTGAGTGCCATGGTGTCAGCCTAGCTCACAGCAACCTCACACTCCTGGGCTCAAGCGATCCTCCTGCCTCAGCCTCCCGAGTAGCTGGGTCTACAGGCATGCGCCACTATGCCCGCCTAATTTCTCTCTATATTTTTAGTTGTTCAATTAATTTCTTTCTATTTTTAGTAGAGACGGGGTCTCGCTCTTGCTCAGGCTGGTTTCGAACTCCTGAGCTCA